ATAGATACACAAAGACAGAGAGTGAAAGTCTGGGAATATTATGAGTGTGTGGCAATATGGCAGCAAAGAAAGAATGACCCATGTATTCAATAGCATTACAACAACATTCATTTAAAAAAGTTAGATCCTAAATACATATCAAACATGTATTAAAGGGAACATAACCACAGCAACAGAGAGACACAGTGCCTTTAAACATACCTATCTTGCTCATGTGAAGTTCACTAGATGGCTAGATAGGGCCAGCAGCAAGGACCTGCTCCATGTCATCAGTGAGGGACCCTGGCCAGTGCCTTTAAATATACCTATCTTGCTCATGTGAAGTTCACTAGATGGCTGGATAGGGCCAGCAGCAAGGACCTGCTCCATGTCATCAGTGAGGGACCCTGGCAAACAGAACTTCTCCATTTCAAAACTGTTTTACAAGACTGACCATGACAGCAATATCTAATGGAAATGAGGGAGATTGTCAGGAAAGTTTTGTGGGGCAGGTAAAAACTAGATAATCATTTTTACCCATATCCCATTGGTTGACATTTGCCTTCCTTCAAGGAAGATAGGAAATAAAATTTAACCAAATGCCAAAGAGAAAACAGATTCAGTGAACACTTGGCCAGTTTCAACTATTGTATGTTCTTTTTACCAAATACCTTACCACCCTTAGACTATAATCAACCTCTCCTTCCTCAGGGTAGATAATCCAAACTCCTATCCAGTTATCACATCCAGCTCTGAATGGAAGATCTGTGAACAACAAGTGTTTTTATTAGCTCTGGATAGGATTCCTTGAAGTACAGCAACTCTTGGACAAAGAACACAACTTATAAAAATCACTGCCACTAACATACTAGAGCCACCAGGGAGACATTTTTAGTATGAACTACCATCTAGTGAGGAAAATAGAGGAGACCGAGAAGGCTTATCTCCCTTGGGAGGGGGCGCATTTTTAAGTTCTCTGGTCAAGTCAGGGCATTTATTAGATTCCAATTGCTTTCAGGAACAACTTGTCCAGTGCTCTTTGTAATGGAGTCATCCTCTGGGAAGTCCCCCTTTGCCCATTACCACCACAGGTCATATGTGAAATATATGATGGGGACTTTTCTCTCCTTGGGGGCCTATACAATCATCTGTCTTTCACTTCCTTAACAACTTTGGAAGCCCCAACATATTTCATACTATGCTATTTATACTTTAAAGTTTCATGGGCATTAACTGAAGCGGTTGACATAATTTTCCTTTTCATTCCATTTATGACTTATGAGGTTAAGTCACATGACTCAAACCTAATTCAAGAAAGGTTGGTTAGCAATAAGGAGCCTGATGCAGAATTACTGTGCTTTTGAAGCCAGCTGTGTGGGTTACAGAGCGCCTGCCTCAAAAACTCAACCAACCAAAACAAATGAGAGACAGAGACAGAGAGAGGGAGAGGTGGGGGAGGGAGGCAGAAGAGAGAGGAGCAAGATTATGGAATGTAGATTAATTGAATACTATCATAACTGGTTTGATTAAGCAGTTTGCTAATCTGTCAGAATGCAGAGGGATACATTCCAGATGGATTAAAAATCTAAATTTCAACATGAAGCTATTAAAGTACTAGAGGAAACCTCAATAGGGTTATTTGGGGATATCATAAACTTTACTGGGCATGAGAATTTTCATGGGTGGGTGGAGGAATGAGATGTTGGATCAGAACCAAGTGATTTTATTACTCACAGTAAAAATAATACACACAGCATGACCATGATGCCTATGCCAGTTCCCTAGTGGATTGGGGTCCTGAAGACAAACCCAGGGCTCAACAATTCACTAGAAAGATACATAGGAGTCAGAAAACAAACTCAACGTTTATTATTAACAATAAAAGCATACTGATTAACGGGGAAAAGGGGCATGACATGAAGTTAAGGAGATAACAGGTAGATGCAAACTTCTAGGGTGTCTCTTCGAGTGGACCCATGGACACATGTTCCAAGTAATGACATCACATTGTCAGTCTGAGCTCATCTGAATCCCAGTGCTCACATATATCTTTTTAATGGGGATCCAACTCATAGGTATAAATTGCCAACATGACTAACCACAGCTACTCATACTTCAGCCTCTCAGAGCAAAGACATGTTGAATATAAATCACACATCTAGCATTCACTCACTGATTCCATTAGCAATTGGTAACACACAGGCCTAGAGTTCATCTCCCAGGAGCTGGCTGGGAGTTTTCTTGGATGTGCGTTTCTCCCAGCAATGATGTAACACAACCTGTGTGATGTGGTTCTAAGGAGGGAGGCCTGCCTGAGCCCTGGTGTCTGTGGGTTTTTATTGGGGTCAATTATACAGGCATATGCATAGTCACACATCTGTATGACTGACCTCCTCGGCTACTCAGTCTATTTTCCCAGAGCACACAGGTACTCACTTTGGTAGATAAGCTATCTGATCAAACAAGTACTAGATGGACCAAGATCTTACATATACAAGTAGTTCTTATCAGAGCTTGTTTCCCAAAAGCTGACTAAAAACCAGTCCAGAAAGAGGCAAATCTGGGGAATGTACAAAGTTTGAGTAACCCAAGTCTGATGGGATGACCTTTTCTAAATGCCTATATTATCCAAAGTCCTACAGAGGAAGCACAAAGGGTTGTTGTTGATATTTATACATGCAGTGTGTTTTGTACTAGAGGAGGGGAACATTTTGTGCTAGGGAGTTTTCACCCACCCCTCATGATTGGTCAGCACAAATACAGCTTGAGAAATGACCCTGGTGAAAAGTTAAAAGGCCTTGGCATTCTGGGTGTGCTTAGCAAGAAAGGCAGGGATGCTCAACAGTTATGGAAGACTGCCTTTTCCACAATGGGTGGGCTTTCTTAAACAAGGCACAAAGCACAGATAGCAAGATTACAGTGACTTATGAACTTGATTATTAAAAAAGTTTTCTGGGAGGCTGGAGAGATGGCTCAGCGGTTAAGAGCACTGACAGCTCTTGCAGAGGACCAGGGTTCAATTCCCAGCACCCACATGGAGGCTATGAACTGTCCTTAACTCCAGTTCCAGGGGAATCTGAAGCCCTCTTCTGACCTCCGCGGCACTGCAGGACATGGGTGCACTCACATACATGCAGGCAATACACTCGTACACATAAAATAAAAATATATAGAAGTTTTCTGTGCCAGGTGTGGTGGTACACACCTTTAATCCCAGCACTCAGAGGCAGAGACAGGTGGATCTCTGTGAGTTCAAGGCCAGTCTGGTCTACATAGAGAGTTCCAGGACAGCTGGGGCTACAGGGAGACCCTGTCTCAAAAAGACCAAAAAAAAAAAAAAAAAGTTTTCTGTGGCATAAACAAAATTATAAAAAGGAAACATGGACGTAGAACATAGGAAGGTGTGAAAATCCTTGAAAAATCTGAACTGGTTAAATCACAAAATAATTTCTGTTTTTAATTTTTTTTTGTGTGTGTACGAACGTATTGCCTGCATGCATGAAGGTACAAGTGTCATGCAATGCTTCTCTTGTTCTCTTGGCTGAGGGGTTGTGCCCATTGGCATTTTCGTCACTTCTCTAGTAAGACGTGATCTCTGTAAGAGTTCGGGTCTTCAAGCTTGGTCCTGAGCAGATGCATACCACGATACTTCCAGAATTTTTTGATATCAAGAAAATACTTCAAAGTTTTCAAAGTCCCCGTGGGTATATGTAACTTCTTCAGATTTTCTTTTAAGCATTTTGAATATACTATTTACCTCAATGGATTTCTACTGCCTATGGCAGCCTTAAAGTTAAAAGCTACCTTAAGAAACAATATCATCAAACTAAGCAAGTGTTGTCGCTTATCAAATGACAGCCTTGCAAGTATGCGACTTCCAGTGAATAACCAGACAGTTCAGGCAATTCTTAGAAATGTCTCGAAAGAAACAAGCTCCGGTTCTCCCTCTCCAGTGGCTGCTGGTTTACCCTGTGATAATGGGCTTTTGGTTTTCAAGGCTACCATGAATCTAGGGAAGGCAATGGGCAAATTAAGATGTTAACAACCTCCACTATTCTTACGAAGATTCAGACATTTTTCAGGCATGAACACTTGTGGATAACCGCCAACCTAGTATCAACTCCTGAGTTGTAAACAAGTTGATTTTACTAATCTGGACAATTTTCTTGCTTTCACGGAGGGATTTTAAGACATTGCTTGTTATTATCCTAGGCACCTTCCTGTGTTATGACCACAGGTCTGCATGTTAAAGGAAAGGACTCTAAACAAGTATCGACTGGCTGGTTTCTGTATTGTAGAGGTGTCAGTTAATTCTGAGACTGTATTCTAGGTTCTAGCTAGACTGTTCTAGCTTGATGGTTAAAACATGGAAATTTTACGTGCAGTGAAATATAGAACTTAGTTTTTGGGTTGTGTTGCCACATTTTTAGAATAGTGAAAAAATATATAATCACAAGTAATTACAACTTTGACAAAATTAGTACTTATTTATATATTATCTGTACATCATAATGAAAAGATACTATTTTTGCTTCATTTTTAAAATATATTTTCTAACAAAAATAATCTAAGTGGTTATGATTTCTTATTTTTCATTATTTTAAATGTCTTTTAATTAAAAAAAAAATTACACTTATTTTGTGTGTGAGGGAGGGTGCCACACCGCATAAAGTTTGAGGACAACTTGCATAACTCAAGTTGGCTTTGTTTTCCTACTCCACGATCCCAGCGATACCTGTGAACTCAGGTCAGGAGGCATGGTGGGAAGCGTGTTTATCTGCGGAGCCACCTCGCAGCCCTGTCTTAAACATATTGGATGCTTATTTTCAAGGCAACAACCAAAGCTGAACTAGTGAATTGTATTTCATAAATATGAATGAAAAACAAAACCTAAAATTATATAATCTCTAAGTTCTTTAATGTAGGAAAAATTGGGGGCAAGTACTATTATAAAATGAATTTAGATATATATTTGATTTTAAAAAAGATGATGTAAACATAACCCAAATTCACACAAAAAGAAAAACAGGTCAAAATGTTTTATAACCTTTCCAAAGAGACTTAAACTTTTTTTGACAAAAAGTGCAGATGGTAGTAGTAATCAATCACTGAATGTAATTTTTTTCCCCTGAAACACAGTAATTTTAGATTGTTGCTCCTTTAGTCTCCTGCTTGCTTCCCAGGAAGGATGAAGAGGTAAGTGCGACCGTTGCATATTTCCAAGTCCTCGCTGTGTACCATTTTTAAACTGATTCTTGATCAGAGGTTCATTTCCTACAATATCTGAGAAGAAAAAGCAAAAATGACAAAACTATATCTGAAGAGTATAAAATAGATTTCATCTCTTCAAACCAATTTTTAAAGAAAATCTCATTTTATTTACAGATAGTATCTTACAATTTAAAGCTGAAATTGAACAGAAAGCAGCTTGAAGTTGAAAACTTACGTGAGTAGTTAATTTTGGAGCTAACAATTGCATATATTTCTTACTGAGTGCCTCCTAATAGTATATACTGTGCTGTCATATTTATAGTAACACTGAGAGGAAACCGTTCTGCTAATATGGAAGGTCAAAACAAAAAAGAACCAATAAACACTGGGTATTCAATTCATCCAAACTATTAAGAAATGTAATTTTTATCCTTTCACTGTGGGAAAGTACTGCTCATTTACATACAGAGGCCAGGAAGTCATCAGTACACACCTGGGGTTTTCGTCTTTGGAGCTTGTTCTCTGGGAACCCTAAAAGAAAAAAAAAAGACATTATGACTTTGAAAAGACAAAACACATCCTCTGATCTTACGCGGGTAACACAACACAGTGGATAATGGCAGTCGTGTAGGATGAACAAACGTTCATGAATATCCAACAGAATAATCCAAGGTTTAGCTACATTCAGTATTTGTTCAGGGGTTGGAGAGATGGTTCAATGGTTCAGAGCACTTGCTGCTCTTCCAGAGGGACCTGGGTTTTGTTCCCAGCACACATATGGCAGCTAACAGCTATCAGTAATGCCAGTTCCAGGGGATGCCATACCCTCTTCTGCCTTCTGACCTCTGCAGACACTGTATGTCTGTGGTGCACTTACACAAATACAGAGAAAACATTCATACACAAATCTTAAAAGTGGACAGAATCTTTAAAAAATTTATTCAGTGCCACTATGACTATACACATACCCAGTCAGACCTTTCCTCTTCATCCTTATAGAAAGCTGGGTTCAGTGAAAAACTATCTAGTTTATCTTGTCCTTGTTCTTGTTGACTATTTAAAGTACCTGACGGCGAGGCATGGCTGCATATACCTTTAATCCCAGTGCTTGGGAGGTGAAGGCAGAGGCAGGTAGATCTCTGAGTTTCAGGCCTGCCAGGAGTACATAGTGAGACCCTGTCCCCAAACAAAACAAGAGAAAAACTCAAACATTTTCTGATGGGAAGAATGATTCAAACACAATGAAAACTAACATTTATATTTGTGGTAAGGGATTGTAGTATGCAACCATGAAAAACTTAAGAGCTCTTTCTGGCAAGATTGGACATAGAAGTATTGATTTTCAAGGTTCTAAAGATGTTTATAGACCTTTTCTTAGACCTTACTGAAGAAATCAGCTAATCACAATCTTTACGTTAAAAATATGCCAGTTAGCTTCTGTCAGGTAAGAATGATAAAGGAAGTCAAACTTATTATTTGTAGGAGAACGCTTGTGAAAAGAGGCTAGAATCAAGGATAAAGCAAGACTGGACTACAGCTGTGTTCAGGAGAAATGCACTGTTGGGGAGGCAGCTCTACGCACTGGAACAAGAAAACAGGTAGTGTTTGTAAGGGCCGGAAATCATCAAAAAGCCCCACCACACACTTTTCAGAAAATTCTCTTTATAGAGATAGACACATGAAACATTTTCAACAGCTGTTCATAAAAATGACTTCAAAATTTCAAGGCCTTGATAAATGAAAGCATAAAATTTAGATTCTCTAGGGATATTATTTGGCTGTACCACACTTTGATGTGGAGTGAGACAGGCATGTGCTGCTGTGAGTACTATACACCATCCAACTACAAAGATGGAGAGGACCACATCAGCAAACAGGATGGCCTGTGCAAGAACAATTATGGCAGAGTTTCTTCTATACTGTTAGGATACACAGCTACTTCATCTTGACAAAATACGAAATAACACCATATCGGAAGGAAGGATCCTTACCTCCTTGGACCTTTAGATGCAGATAAAGACTGGAAAAACACCGATTCTAGCTTTCTGGCTTCTGAAATTGGCTTACTTTGATCAGTCCTTCCATCCCAAAGGGTTTCAAGTCCATTTTCTTTGGGTGTCACTTTGGGGATGGGCTTTTGTTCCGTGGCTGAAGAATGGAAACTGCTTTCCTTCTTTCGTGTCCGTCTGACTTTCCCAATGAAGAAGTCGTCTCCACTATCGCTCTCCTCAGACATGGAGGATTGTTTATAGAACCTTTCTTCTGTGCTGTCATCAAAATACTCCTTTTCCTCTTCATTTGACTCTTCTTCACTTTCACTGTTATCACCAAGTGAGCCGCCGGACTCCTTACTTGTGGTTTGACCTAACGCTTTCGTTTCTAAGTCAGCAGGTATCTTCTGTTGTTTGGGGGAAACTATGGAATCCTTTCCTGCAGGCTTTGATGGAGGATGGAGACTGGTTGCTTCTTTGGGTCCATGCTCCATCTTGACCGTTTTTTCTTTTGAATTTCTTACAGATTTCTTTGCTGGAGTTTTCGCTTCTTTTCCTTTTTGCCCACAGACAACAGTTCTCACATGCTGCTGTAGCTGACTTGCATCATCATTTGAACACAAAGCGCCTTTACACTGGTTTTCTTCTAAAGTATTCTGTGATGACTCAACCCCGACAGTATTATGTCTTGCATCTTTAAAGGCCTGTACAGCAGCTATAAGGAAAATAGTGCAGGGCTTGTTTTAGCATTGAACACAAAGCACCGCTGTTTCAGCACAATACTTCTTTTGCTATTTGGAAACATGTAAGGACAATCAGAATCTATACTAAACATGTAAAAGGAATCTAAATAAAGAAATCTTTTCATTACTTAAAAACCAAATTTATAAGGCATCCTCAGATGTATCCATCTTAAATTACCAATGAAAATAAAATTAACCTTTCTTCATGCCTTTGAATTACGGAAAAACAATAAAAAAAACCAGTGAAAACAAAATAGCACTTTAATTTTTGTGGTAATAATGTACTGAATTACTGTTTTCAGACATAAAAATAAGCATCACTTAATCTGTGACAAAGTACTTAGTCCTAGAAATATAGTTTATAACACACATATAAATTATGTGAGAATGACAAGATCAAAAGCAGTTATGATTGTATCAGTATTTAAAGCATATATATTTTATTCAAACCTTTTTACATATAATACACAATATATTAAAATTTAGAAAAAACATACTTACTTTTTATTCCTGACATCAAACATCTTCCACACTTACAGGCACATTTCCACAGTTGTATATATTTTAAAGAAATTTATTTTTTATAATAGAAAATAACTTTAACAGTTAAAAGATCAATATTTAAAATATATGAAATAGCCAGGCATGGTGGTACACACCTGTAGTCCCAGCACTTGGGAGGCAGAGGCAGGTGGATCTCTGTGAGTTCAAGGCCAGCCTGGTCTATGTAGTGAGTTCCAGGACAGCTGGGGCTACAGAGAGACCCTGTCACAAAAAGACCAAAAAAAAAAAAAAAAACCTCCAAAAAAACCCATGAAATAATTTATCCAAACTGATATGCATAAATGCATTAGGCATACAATCATTTAATTCATACCTTTCAGCACATCGATTTTTTTCTTCAGAAGAGGGTGAACTGCTAATCTGGCAACTGCTCTTTCAGTTGCAGTAGAATCTGGCTGCAAATTGAAAATAATAAATACAAGGGATTAAAATTAACTTGGCATTATTAAAAATGATTAAACTGAAATGTACCAATCTTTTACACTTATGAGTTAGGACATAAAAACTGCTGATATTCTCACTATACATATTACCTATGTAATCTCTACTACAAAGATCTTGTTGATAAAAGTATTAGAGCTTCTGAATAACTAAAATAAGCTTACCACTTACCAGTCCTTAGATACTTATAACTGTGCTAGGCATCATTTGAAATGAACTTGTAGGGAAAAAAAAGAAAAGAAACATAGCTTCTACTTTTCAAACAGTGTAAAAGATCTAACTAAGAAGACTAAATTAGTTATGAAAGAATCAAATACCATATTGTGGGAGCGACTTCTGGGGCTTTCATCTTATTTATAATGTAAATAAGCTTAGTAGGTCTTGGCTACCTCCTGTAACTTAAACGTAAGAACTTTTATTCCTCAAGACCCTTTCTTGCCCTTGACCCAGAATAATTCATGAATGTGTATATGTTGTGAAAATACTAAGTGCTACAAGCAGTGATATTCATTGACAGCAATGGATTATCCCACTTGTGTTGCAAACAACAGGTGGGATTAGACTGATAACATCTAATTGGTGGTTGTGTGTGTTGTTCTACATCAGTTGGGGTCAGGAGAGTCACAATTCCTATAGGAAAAGTTCCCTTTTCTATGTGATACTGGACATATGTTGCCAATAAAGAGAGAACAAGGCCTTTGTTCGGGAGCACAGTACACATTCTCAGAACAGTTCCAGTCCCACACTTGGTTGAAATGGATACTAAGAGTCAGGCTGTCTTTGTTTAGGCATCACTCCACAGAACAAGATTAGTGCTAAACTGGAAACAATTTCCTGAAATATTTGAGGTCTCATTAATGGAGACCTAGAAATAAGAAGTTAATGTCATATATTGATACTTTGAATGTATTCTGTCCCTGGTGTATTCTCAGAACCCAACACAGTGCCTACCTAGCTCATAGCTAACACTTTTTGTATTTGATATTAATTGAATGAGAAGAGATTATTCTGTAGTATTTAATGTATTTATAAGTTAAACAATTTGTAATTCAAGTTATTAACCTTAAGTACCCAATATGGCTGACATCATCCAAACTACTATCTCTAGCTCCAATTTGGGACCAGATTGATCTCTATTTGGCATGTCTAAAGAGAATTTAAAATTTCCTACCAAACCTGTTTCTCCTATTATCTTTTCCATCTTACTGCACATAATTTCCATTTTACCAGTTGTTCAGGTAAGGATTCTCCCACAATATTCTTTCCTTCACGTATCACATGACACCTTAATGTTCAATTTAGAACAAAAAGACTGTCATGATAAGACCTTTCCTAAAAAGATAAAATTTAATATCCCAAAAGTTTTTATTAAAAATAAAAACCCTTAATGTTTTCATTCTTAGATAATGCTTCACTTAATTTCTGAAAATTCAAATACTAACAAGAACTAAAAAGAATATAGACCAGGAAGTTTTTTTCTATACAAAAGACCAATACAATAATCTAGACTTGATTTCAAGATTACTTAACTTAGTTAGGAACAAATGAGAACTCAAACTCGGGTCTGTGAATTTAGTCTAATGTTCCCCCTGTTTCCCTCTAATCCATAAACAACAAGTTTCTTTCATTTGTGAGTTAACTCTCAAATTATTTCTGCATTAAAATTACTTAAAGTCCACTTCAAATCTTTTTGGGAAGAAATGAAATAAAAACATCAGAGAAGAAAGGAGGGAGGAAAAAGGCTTCTGAGAAGCAAGTGTGCTCAGGCTCATTCTCTGGGTAGCCCCTGCTGTGACAGGTGACTCCCTCTGCCCTCCCGACTTCCCCCGTGCCCATTTTCCTTTCTCTATTGGCTCTGTAGATTTACTAACTTTTGAGGCTGACAATGTGGCTCTAATTTAAAGGGCAAAAACAACTTCACTAATAATTAATCCAAAGAAGAATGTGGTAAACTTCATTGGAGAGTCAATGTTACACAGGTGTGTGTGTGTGTGTGTGTGTGTGTGTGTGTAGCACAAATACTGTGATAATCTTAAATTTAAATGCATGCTTTTTCAGTTTAAGTCTACTAGTTTTTGTGAAGAGCTTTTACACCTGTGTGGAAAGTCTTCACAGTATTAGGAGGGATGAAGGAAACCACAGTTTTCCTTATTTAAAATGGACACAATGTTTGCCATGGAAAATTCTCAGGAAACTGTGGTTTTTCACACACCCCCAGTTTCTTCCATTTCAAATAAATTAAGCAAAAAATTGGAATACACCATCTTTTAATGGAAAAGTTTTATTTTGGCACTTGAGTATTTATTATCAACACAAAGGAATTTTGTATTCAATTTTGAAAAGAATTCTGTAAATATACCTCTGGATATAAATAACTGTCTAAAAATGAAGAAAAGATTTCTTATGTGCACTATTAATTCTTTGAAATGTTACCTAAAACAACCTGACTATAAATGACAAGGAAGAGGAAGAATGTAATAATACTCATATTAATAAATTGGGCCTAAGTTCGACTCTACACTGTACCTAAAGAAATAAATATTTGTATCTATTACAACATTTAGGAAGATAATCAGAAATAGTCCGATTTGCTGGACTAAATGAGTTGTGGCAAAACTATGCATAATATTTTGGAGATTTTTAAATGTTGAAAATAGACAAAGTATTTCCCATTGCAGGGAAAAGGAACAGTACTATCCTATACACTGAAAGTTTTGCATATATATTGTTTAGAAATTAAGCTGACCAAAAACTTGACACACACACACACACACACACACACACACACACAATAGGCGAACATTACAAGGTATTGTGACATAAGACAAATACAAATCAATGATAAAACCAGTCACTTAAATGTTGATAGAAATTTTAATCATTCAAGCTATCCCTCAAAACATTTTAAAATAAGAGCTTTGCTGCATGACTACTTTTAGCTACTACTATTGCTTTTTGGCTTAAAAGGAAGATAGAGCTCCTCAATGTTTATCTTCAGCTAAATTACATTACATTTCAAGTATACCTTCCTTGGGTCCTATTTTCAGATGTGGACCAACCTCTAAACTTATTGGGCCTATGAGAATATGAACCTTCTGCCAGTTTCATGTGCTCGAACACCTGGTCCCCAGTGAAGGTAGTTGTGGATCCTTTGGGAAGCAGGGCCTTGAGGTATACAGTCCTGTTCTACTTCTTGATTTACCAGGATGTGGGTAAGCCTCACTGGAAACTCCTCTTGCCATGGATGGAGTTTCTTTAGCCATTATGCCTTCTATACCACGATAGATGCTACTAGAAGAATGCAGTGTTAGAAGCCAGCTGCAGCCTTCTCCCTTTCAGAAACCAACCCGCTATGGAGACATTATCTGCGAGTCCCTAATTAACAAACTCATAGGTACCAGGATCTCTCACCCAGGGAAGTTAGTTTACATGAAAGGGGGTACTGGTGGCCATCCTGCCTTTCCTCAGAGCCTGACTGCAGGCTTGTGCTGTGAAACCACCCCCATCTTCAGAAAGGTGTAAGAAGATGCTATCATTTCTGCCATGTCGGCTCTGATTCCTGTCTTCAGAGACCCTGTGATGTTGTCTGTCTCTGATGCTGGGGCCTGAAATCTCAGACTTTCCACCATGCTACTGCTATGGCATTAATAACTCTTTTAATAAACTCTATACTACTATAGTCTCTGCGTCCCTCTTTTTCTTTTGGAGACAGGGTTAGCCCCAGCTGGCTTGGAACTCACTATGTAGACCAAGTTGGCCTTGATCTCAAAAAGATTCACCTGCCTCTGCTTCCTAAGTGCTGGTACTAAAGGTGTGAGCTACCATGTCCTGTCTCCAAGTGTTCTTCTTGAACTCTCCAATCCAACACCTTTCAGATATCTCCTTAAATTGTGAGCCAAAACGAATCCTTCCTTCCTTTAATTTATTAAATGCAGATGTGAAAAGAAACAAATGCATTCTACAAAAGGTGTATGTCTTCAGCCAACATATATAGCTTGTGAAGAACAATTACGTACAAATAGAACAATCACATAGAAACAGAACAATCATGTAAAAACAGAATAGAAAATGATGCTCAACTCCATGTACTTGTGAGCTTTAAGCAAGTGGAAGGCAAGATGAATTTAACCTTTATTAAGAGAATGAAAGAAAAAACTGGTTTAGTAATGCAAAGCCATTGGGCAGTGATGACAATTAGAGATGAATGCTGAAAAGAATCTGGAGCAGAAAGAATTAAAAAACAAAGAAACCAAAAACCCGCTGAACTTTTAGTAGTGGTATAATTTAATTAAATAGCTTCTTGTAACACCTATCACTATTTTATGTGTTTAGCTGTTATAATTTGGTAATGGAGGTCGGCAACAAGTGCCTGAAGAGTATGGAGTAGAATGCCAGGAGAGAACTGCAGAACAGTGAACAGGCAAGACAGGGTGTTCCACACCATTACCTAGTTTCTACCGAGACATACCTTTTTGCAAATCTGTTCAAAGCTGATATCATCACCAAGAGCAGATTTAGTTACTATATCAGGTTTCAATTCCTATAAAAGAAAACACAATAATTTTAGTAATAAGTAAAGTTCCTTTTGTGTCCTGCTTCAGGAAACTTTTATTATTTAAAATGTTAAATAATTTTATGTTACTACAAAAGTTACAGCAAAATGCCTTTAGAAGTTGATTCTCCCTACAGAGAAAAAGGGAGAAAAGAGAGAAAAAAGGGAGAGGATTCAGAAGAAAGCTGTACAAGATCACTGACCATTTCACACATTAGGTAAAAGGACAGGAGTCAAAGGACTCCTGTTTTAAATGGGCAGACTAAAATTAAAAGATTATGTAAGACCGGAAAGAATACTCTATAGGCAATGTTAATACAACAGTAAGAAAGTATGGAACAAAAGTACAGACCTTAATAAATACCAGAATTTCTTCGAAAATCACAGACACATCAAGTGGAGAAATAGTAAATATAACTAAATATTCAGTAAAATGTAAAATGACAGTTGAGAATAATCATTAAAAACAAAACTAAGAATTAAGTCACTTACTATATCCACTGAAAAAAAGATCTTCAAATTGATCAAAAAACATAATTCTATGTTGTGGATTATGTAACAGTCATGAAGAATACAGCTATTTTTAAAAGGCTGAAATTAGCTGGGTGTGGTGGCGCACACCTTTAATCTTAGCACTTGGGAAGCAGAGGCAGACATATCTCTGAGTTTGAGGCCAGTCTGGTCTACATAGTGAGTTCCAGGCCAGCTGGAGCCACAGGGAGACCTTGTCTCAAAAAGACCAAAATTAAAAGGATGTGGGACAGGCAAACAGGAACCATTAGCATGCAGGCGCTGGAAGATAGGGTAAGAAAAAGAACTCAAAGAAGATGACATTAAACAAGACAAAGAAGGAAACATTACCTTCTTCTATCTGTGATAGTTAATCGATCACCATGGAAACACATCTCTTAGTGTGTCTATAAGGGTGTTTCTAGAAAGGTTTAACAGCAAGGCAAACTCGTCCTGAATATGGGCAGGACCATTACATGGACTGGGGTCCTGGACCGAAAAGAGAAAATAACCTGGGTAGCAGCATTCACTCGCTCTGTGTGCAAGGGGACTGGCTCCTGTTGCCATGACAGATTGTATTCCCAAATTCTGAGCTCAAAGAAAGGGGTCCTTAAGTTGCTTTTGTCAGTTATTTTGTCACAGCAATAAAAAAAAATTAATACACTATCTACACACCAAATAAAACACAAGCACTTATATAAAAAATAAAGGAAATGAAGGAGAAACAGAAACAGTATGTCTAGGAGACACTGATACATTTGTTCTCAGTTCACCAGAGTTCAAAATAACTGAAGAAATAATAGCAACAACAACATATGAAGATTTTGACAAAATACAGTTTTGTGCCATATGACGACTACACAACTGATTCAAGTTCCAAAGAGTGTACGCACGCACACACGCACACACACACACACACACACACACACACACACACAAAATCTTAATTTATCTAAGTATATGCTAAGATATCCGCACATGGATGCATGACTGTAATTAAGTGAGGTAACTTGCTTGGTAAGGTAGATATGCCTGATGAATTTATTTAGATGATATCCATGATGATTTGAATGATAATATCCCCCATAGGCTCTAAGTATTTGAATATTTGGCCTAGTTGGTCATGCTGTTTGGGGAGGGTCATGGAAACCTGAGGGGTGGCCAAGCTGGAGGAAGGACATATCACCGGGGGTGGGCTTTGAGAACATATGGCTTATCACACTTCTAGGCTGTCTCTTCTTCCGGTGCTAGATGTGAGCTCTCAGCTTCCTGTCGTACAGGACACATATCTTTTGGAAAAGTAAGCCCAAATACACTCTTCCTTCTATAAGCTGCCTTTGCCATGGTGTTTTACCACAGCAACAGAAAAATAACTAATACAACATCTGAGTGATGTAAACTGCATTTTTACTCAAGTACACATGACACAGTCACAAGAGCTA